GTGGTATTTCTCTTTCTACAGAACACGGCTTATTGACTTTTTCCGATAGGTGAGAACAACATTTGACTGGAACAATCCCACAAAACGGAGCCAACCGTGTCTGAAAGTATATCGGATGCCAATTCAAATGTCTACCTGTCTGCTATTGATGCACTGATCCGAAAGGTTGCACTGTTGCTGAAGTTGTCAAAGCACACACCCAAATCAATGACCTCAACGATTTTTTTCTTGAAAGTCGTGGCCTGATTTGCTACCGCACGGATCTAACAGAACTCTTTCTTACTCGAACTTGGAGAGCTCTTCCCAACCGTCATTGCGAACAGAGCTATAGTAAAGAGTCAGACTTGATAGAGAAGAAGAATTCTAATAGAACAACACTACTTGGTGAATTGTCGAACGATCTGGAGGACTTCATTTGCAACCTAACCTTTCCATAACGAATTCTCATTCCCTGAAGAGCGTTGAAATGATCGATGTAAATCATTAGTCAGCTGCTGCATTGTTACATACAACGACTGGTCTTCTTTTTGGAAATTTAATGGTGAATTTTTGAACTAGGAGCCGAGACTAGTTCGTTTCTGAGATATAAGAACGACGGTCAAAACGATGAGTGCATTTTGACAAACATTGAATGCGCATTTTCTCACTCTTAGGCTCGCACAGCACAACGCCTTTAGCATGAATGTAACCGTTCTCCCGTGTAATGTGTATGCCAACGTTTGTTGGAATCGGTTATTATATTATGAAAGATCTGTATGTTTATATCAACTGCTTGAACATTTTATGATTTCATTCTGTATAAAGAGCCCTCGTTTGCAACAAATATTTGCTGTTAATTCCGTTAATTGTGTGTATTGCCCTGAGCGCTTCCGTTACAATGGTAACGAGCGGTTATCTTTTTTCAAATCATTCGTTTTTCAGACAGGTGGTGAAATATTTCGCAATTTCGCGTGCCGCATCCATAAGGACATCAGACCATTAAACATTTTAAGAGTTTTTCTAAACAGTCGCGCCTCATCTGATAATATTTATTCTCCCGTTTACAAGCACATGTTAAGGCTTTTGAACACCAGGAACCTACGGCCACGTTTTATCATAATTTCAAACAAACCATGGAATAAGTTCATTCGAGTAATGACCGGATAGAATCGGATAGGAGCAATCACTGCATTTAGATGCGCATTTTTCGGCACGTTTTGCCGTCCACAAAATCGTTTATTTCGTCTGTTATAGCTCTGATACAGACCAGTCTGTTCCATAGACTAGCTATACTATCCCATTCAAATAAATGTTCAACGAATATACCAGATCTTAAAAATTGGCCAATACAAGCGCAACTCAGTGACAAATGAGATTTGAATTGCACACGCATTCATTTTCCACAAAATCAAACATGGATGATTTTAATCCTCTCGGCATATGGCATTGTTGGACACAGCCTAAAAGCACATACGTAAAAAAGGTAACTTAACTCACGGCGACATCTCAGCACAGGTGACAGGGGGAAAAAGACGGAATGCAAGCTGCTCATAATTGTTTGCTCAAGCTTTTTCTCCCCTCACCACTCGGCCGTCCTGATTGTTTCTTTCGGGAATCTTAGACCAGGGACCAATGGTTACAAGCATGATCGACAAAAATGCTGCTTTTGATAGAAAAGTAATATTATAATCCGCCAGCGGTCAAGAAACAGACAATTTACAGATCGGCTTGACTCGTAGACGGAAGTTACTTGATAGAATATTGACAAATTTCAAACACATTGAGATGTCTTGTTCTGGGTAGATCCACCTTCCACCCTCGTTCCCCATTCACCCGAGAATGGTGTAAACATCCTAAGCCCATTGAATATCTTCACAAGATTTGGCGTCAAATTTTTCACGCAAATAGCGCACAAACGCCTCCCCGTGTAAACGTAGACTGGACATGCGTCGTTCGGTCGTATCTGGGACTCCCAAGTGTGATGGACTGAGTCGATTTTGTCGAAGCTTTTTGATTTGTAAGATAATGCCTACCAAAAGTTCGTCAACCAAGTGGTTGATTGCCGTGGAGACCTCAAAGTATTTGCATCCGTGTAAATGAGCCAATCGTTTGCCTTCTGGGGAAAAGGAAATACCGATAAGGATATCTCGATAAGTGAAACAGGAAACATGTGAGTAAGTATTTTGCATAATGAATAATGCAAACAAAATCCTCTCAAAAAAACAGCACGATCTTATGACTTTTTACTGTTGCTTAAATAATGAATGATTTCACTTACCATAATTGAACTTCAGGACCAAGCAATGAGCGTGTCAGATTCCTCTAATCTGATAAAATCGGCCACCAACATAGCATTCCCTTTAAAACCTAACGGTGATTGATTGGTGACTCCAAATAGATGAGTGTGCCCTCAACAATTCTTTGTATATAATGCCCTTTCACATTGATAGACTCTATCAATGTATGGTCAATCTAAACGCAGTGACACAAACTTACAACCTGGAGGGAAATGTTTATGATCTCAGAGTTGTCATTAGGTAGCAGTTCATGAAATCACAAGGTTACGTAATGGACAACTAACCATTGCAATCAGTACGTCTGTACATCTTCGAGATCACACTTGACCACATGTCAGATTAACGAGAAACTGCCAACGTCCATTTTGTGTTAGATAATGATTCTAACGTAACCGTTGCCGTTTTCGTATTGGCATTGTTTTATAATTGACCCGTACAAGATGTCTGTTTAGTCAGGCGGAAAGTCTAAATGCTGTGGATGGTTTTACAAACGAAGCAATTAGCTTGTCCGTTGGAATTTGTGTTGCACAACAAAATACATGATTGTCTCGTTCTTAAAAAAAACTCCTCACCACTTTTCGAATTGAATATATTTACGGGGTTACTTTACAAATTCAAACTGCATTGGAGTTGTAAAGATGGACCATGGAGTACTGTTCACAGCAACTTGAACACGAGGCAGTGTCACTTTAAGTGCAATTATAAAACCGACACACAAGAAAAGGTTTTAACGTCAACAGTACTCTGTAATGGTCGCACTAAAACGCACAGAACCCAGTTGAGCTGAGAATACATACAATGCCCTTAGTTTTCACCTGTTTAGGCTTGGGGTATTCATCCAATAGACAATAGTCAAGGTACTTGCAGGGATTTGAGAGCCTAATTAAAGATACATTGCGTGCGCGTTTTAATGCCAGTCGCAAACGTTTGTGGTGACGAGAGTGTGCAAACCTCGCAGTTTAAGGATGGTTGAAATACTTTTGGGAGTTTATGCTACACCTGACGCATATCGCATAAGAAGTCAATATTGCGATCCTGTAAAGGTTAGAGAACAACACATGGCCTCATCAACTTTATGTACATCTTTGCGTGAAGCAGTGAATGCTTAATAGAATAGGTCCCCATTGCAATTGATAACTGAAACACATTGGAATACGTTCAGATGGCTACTTCTAGAATGTCGTCGGCATTCAGAAACAGTTATCTTTTAAAAACGTCGAGTCGGAATCCCATATTTATCGTCGAACCACTGTTCCAATGCAGAAACACAAGAACACAAGGTCTTTCACTTTCTTCCCATGTCGCACACGCTTTTGCATTTATTTACTGACGACATGTGCATCTGACATTTTTTTTCTCTTGAGGCATGCTATGCACCATGGACTCATGTAAACAAATTGATTGGCGCTGCAACTAAGGGACTGTATTTTCAAGCCATGGAAATCAACCGACAACTCCACAAATACCGTAATTTTGAAAACCGAAACGTGTTGGTTGGCAAACTGTTATCTAAAAAATTGACTGCATCCTCAAAATTCTCGTTCTTTCCTAATAGCATCAGAACTTATCCTAGTCGTGAGCTGAATAGCTGGGAAGCACTGGACAGCTGTTTTAACTTGGTTGGGTCTCATCACCAGGGTGAAGCCATCGACCCAACTGTGGATCAAACCCGGGGACCTCACAGATAGATCATAAACGTACTATTCACTCGGCTACTGAGCAGCTGATCAGACTGTTTTTCATTTTTCATTTCCATGAAGAAGCAAAACCAAAATGTGCGGGTTTGTTGCAAGTATTGATCCCCGCTCGTCTCAGGTATGGTGTTCTTTGAGGTTCAGGTTCCGGTCTCCAGGTGGGTCGATAAATTTGCACTGTTAATGATACCTAACCGGGTAGAAATAGCTGTCCATTGCTTCCCAGGTTTTTAGCTCACTCCTCATTTACAAGATGAACTCATCCTCATTCATCCTAGTCACCAGAAACTGAATGCCTTGAGATTTCACGTTACAATAGTACTGGTTAGTATACTTTTATTTATAAGGATGATTTTGGTTGCTTCAGAAAAGACCAACGGGTTTGTGGGAAAAAATAATAATCAGCCTTTATCATTCAAACCAGCTCAGAACAGTGTCAAACGTTGACATTACTATTGACGCATTTTCAACGTGAACAGATACCTGATTATTTTCTCCCATCCCAAGTATTATCGTTTCGATGCGTGTTCCTGAATGTTTTCGTCGTGTATTTAAATGTTCTAGGGTTATCTTACGAATGCATGTGGCAAACATCTACTCTACCATAAACTTGGATATTTCGGAGGCTTCACCTTAATAATGAGGACTTTGATTAGGGACAGAATACAAGAAACGCTTCCTGTCCTTGACTTGCTCAATGCCGGTGCATTCAGTTGTGCTTCTTCTGCCAAACTCTCTAATCACTCGATCCCGAGTATTCCAACATTCCTTTTCCACCGAAATCAATTGCCTTGACAAAATAGATAGTCCATTGAGTTTTCGAACAAACATTCACGTCTGTCTCGACAAATCTGAACTCGTCTTTCTAAACTTCAGTACACAAATATCATCCCATATATTCGCTGGATGCTTGCGTCCAGTGAGGACCTCTGCAAGTCGCAATGGTTCAACACACGTCCTAGTTGTACATCGTTTGACGTCGACTACCCTAAGTTCTTCCAGTTAAATATTGATTGCGTGATCAGTTCTACAACGTCTTTGTTATCTCTCGAACCATCTCCGATTATTCACATACATGAAACATTGCTATACACTACATACTATCTCCCGCTTACCATCTCTTAGTTGTAAATTTCCAGGTGGCACCGGCTATATATGCACTGATCTAGTGTTGATTATTCTGCCGTTCTTAGCTCTGTAGTCCGCTCCTCATCACTTAAAAGACCAGAGTCAGGTTGCTGTCCCTTTTCTCTGCACGAATCGTTAAAGGCCTATTTATCAAATCATCGCACCGACTATGCGCTGTTTTCGATATGAGGGAGAGGATCTAAATTAGAGCTTCATCAAAATCGAAACCTCACTATATGCCCACCTGGTGGATGTAAGTTAAACATGACCGATCTACTTTCCAGCGTTACCCGAGCTTAAAATCATCAGAAGTTTTCCCAGTTGAATCCTTTTTAAAGCCTGTAACCCTGATGTAGTTCTACCTGTTGTCTTGAAGGGATGTGTTGGCTTCCTTTCCCCTCTATTGTGTGAACGTTTAAAGCACGTTTCACCACCTTGCATGCATCTCAGCTGTTTTGAAAGTATTTGAAATGCTTCTGATTTAAACCCCGTCTTCACAATTCACTGTGATGGATATCCATTCTTGGCCAGAAACAAGGTTGTTTGCGTGTCTTCTAGACTATAGTGATGCTTTCAACAAAAACGATGTGCAAATATTGCTAAATAACGTTTCTCCCGGAGATATTGAACCTATAATGATACAACGTATATCGTACAACACGTAACCGAATGTATCTCAGTAACTCACACATTATTGTGACCGACAGATTTATACTAAAAACATCGCACAAAAAAGTGACACGATCCACTCCTTGCTTGCCAGTGCTGACTGCGTTACATCTGTCGATCGCTAATTTGAGAGTGAAAGTGACACTCCACAATGTTACTATTAGTTATAATTTCCTACCGCTCCTCCTTCTGTGTACCTTCCACATAAAACGCATAACAGCATTCCCTGAAGTAAACCCTTGTCATAACTTCTCGCGTGGGTAGCCTTCCAAACCTGTAGAGTGTAAACTGACCCTGAGATCCATAATAGTCATAACAGTCATAGTCTTAACAATTTTCATGTCGTGGCACCAGAGGAGATCCCAAATCTTACTGGTATGTGAACCCAGAGGCATGTTAGGCGAAAGCCTGATTTCGTGCTAGAAATCTTAGGTGACCTGAACTGTTGATCAACTATTAATCGAACCGTGAGCAGTTTACACGCCAAAAATTCTGTTTATCTTCACTGCACGGAATGCTTATCTAAACCGATGATGAATATCACGGTATGCTATCAGTTTTATGTTGTTCTCCGTTAGTTTATTTATTATTATTTCAACACTTAAATAATTACAGAGAAATGGCGAATGTGCCACCACACATAAACAAAAAGCAATCTGCAGATTGCGTCGATAGGTTGTGTGGGCATGTTACTTCCCGGTTATCCTGACCGAAGAAGGAGGATAACCTCGGGGCCCCACCAAAAGCCTTTGGCTAGAAAGCCAGAACTGGATGACAGTAGGACGGAGCTCAGAGTCCGCAGTTCATTGGGAGCCGGTGTCCACTTCATCGGATCATGCGCCCTTTGGACGGGGTCAAACGTACAAGGTGCACAGTACACCTTGGTTCCCCATTAAGCCGGTGGTCAATGTCACAACCTGGAAGGTGTGCGTGTGGTTCTTACGTCTGTTCTTGGTTTGTTTGGAATTAGGGTTCATATCCAACTCCACTAGGTGAAATACCATTGGTTCCTCAATCCGGTAATGGCCCCAAATGTTGTTTTTTCGTACTCTCACTTTGATGGGAAAAACACCTCCTTCACGAGAAGGTAGTGGAAAGAGTTTCCTCAGCTAGACTATTTGAGACGCTTGGCCATGTAGAAGCATATCGTGATGTGTAAGGCAATGCTGACTAGTCACAATCCGAGAGACCCACCCCGACCATACTGAATCTGTCCGTTTTACTTTGTACTTACCTTCCTGTGGTATATTTACCATCGTGGGACTCATTGCGGTTATATAATTGATTCACATCCACCAATCAGGGCACATATAGTGAATCCTTCAGTTGACTCGACGTAATCATACCATCCTGTGCTTCGACGAATTAAGTCATTTTAATTTTGATCATGATATTAGCATTTCGATGTTTACGTCCAATCAGGTGAACTCTGAACCTAAATTACCGGTATGTATCGTCTTCAATCCTACTAAGCTTTTTGGTAGCATTGTTAACTATGATGAAGACGTTTACATGCTCTAACTCTTTCACTGTCTCTTCTGTCGAAAAATTGTTCCGATCGAACTCGGTTGTGCAATGCTGAGAAAGTCAAATTTTTCATTACACCTACCTAGAGATTGAGTTTGAATTCCTCTGCCGTCTTTTTTTTAAATCTGTCAAAAAGACGCGCCTAACCAGCTGCAGCCTATCACACTCCACCCGCGACATATAAGTTTAATTTTTTACTTCTAATGTAAGGATATGTAAATATTATTACTATTAATAGTATTATTATGCAATCTGTGCAAGTGATTTCAGTTATCGGTTCCCCGGTTCCTCTTCAACGCCCTCTAGTGATTCTTCTTGGTTTGCCTGAAGTTATTTTTTAGTTTGCTTGGGTGTGCCGTGTTTCCTGAAGTTCTACGTCTTTTAGGATAGGCAATATTTGTGACGGACTGTATAAATTTGGCAGTCGCTTTTATCTGATAATATCCCGGCGTTACAAATTTACCACTCCGTATGTCAGTCCCAATTTGTTCCAACTGGTTTAGTTGACCATACATTTCAACTCGTGTAGCTGCGGTAAGAAACTATTTCACAGCTTCTCTTCTCTGAGGAGGTAAATTGAAAATTCTTTCCCAGTTGCATGCACCATTTTGAACAGTATCATGCATAATTTTTCCTTGTTTCTCGTCACGGCTATTTGGACATAATTTACTTAAAACGTGAGATAACATGCATAAACATATTTAATTAATTAAGTAAAACATACAGAGAAAACCGATTTGCCTATTCCCCGACCAATTAATAACATTTCGATGGGAATCCTAGATTCCTGGGGACTTTGGAAACCGTTTTGTTTTTCTGATCTCTTAAGAGAGTATTTTATTAAATGAAAATAAGTGATAAATCAGGTTACACAGCGCCAAATACAACGCTGCTCAAGAATAAGATTCTCGTTTCATTTCATGCAAACTACCGTTCTTCATTTGATAATCACAGCACCAGTGTTGGGATTGGATACACAGAAGTTTCGCTTTCTTCGATTTTCCTGAGAAGACTGATAATGGGTATGTTTGCTTTACGTTCCCTACATTGGAGACGAAATCTTTGTAAACATTTACGCCACGTGTTTGACATGGTGCAGTTTATTACTGCCGCTAACTCCCTTGGGAGTTTTGTTCCCCAATCCATGAAATCGGTTCAGTCTGTCTGGTCAGTTACCTGAACGGATCAATCTGTTTGAGAAACATTAGAAAAACAGAGGGGCGAGATAAGCGGGACATTCCTAGGTTTCTTTCTTGTTCCCTTCCGATTTCCGTGGGTATATAATGGTAATTCTATAGGGAAAAAAACCTTTGTGAAAGGGTGTTACTTGTCATCGAATCAGAACATTTCACACAAAATAATGCATGTCAATCAAGGAATTTCTGGCTACGTAAAATGTCTCCTACATTTTAATTTTGATACAATCAGCAGTCGTTCATACCTATCAAAATATCAACGGAGTGATCTCTTTCCACATACAATGCGCTTCATATACAAAGAATTACCTAAGCGATGCAATATCCTACATGAAGGCCTGGGTCATTATTCTAACTTTTTGGTATCAGAACAAATAAACCATAAGATATTGCTAAGTGCTGTATGGCCAAACGGATCAGTTAGGTCAGAGTTATCAAAAAGGGATTGTCAATTCCAACAGGTACGAACGGCACAGTCTAAGTAGATAGAATACGAATAAGGTGAACGATCAAGATTTTTACATTTTATAAATAACAGCAATACATGCATTTAGGGAATTTAAAATCAAAACAGCCACATGAGAAAGAAGTGAGTTTTTCTTGCCCTCAGTGTAACGAGAAAACTTTTTAGCAACTAATCGCGTTCAATTACCATTCTTTGCAGTGTCAGAAAATGAGTAATTGGATTAACCCAGTGAATAAAACTAACCGGAAACGCAACGTCATTCTCTGCACAAACATCCATTGCAAAAAACAGCAGACAAAATGAATACCGTTGATAGAAGGAGAAACGCATTTCGACGAGGGAGTAGTAGCAGGAGAGTTTTCCTTGACCGTTTCGTGACAAATCAGTACAAACCTACGAAAATGGGAGCAATTGGTCATATTGACCGGTATGTAAAGGCGTCGCATACTGCTGAGTTTATCATGCGTATAGCTTACACAGTTAGATTACATTTGAGCATTCCCATTCTGTGCGTCACCCAAGGGAGACAGTTGTGTTCTTTATCAAATAGTGTCTCAATGAGATTATACTTGAATAACGACCTATCTGCTTAACACTGGGAATTATAGTTCCAACACGCTACCCTTCAAACTTAGCATTACAGTGAAGGATGCAATGATTTTATTCTGAATGTATCGTGACGTTTCTTTAAAATGTACGGTCATCTTTATTAAATTATGGGCTAAAAGTCCCTCTTGGTCCCCGCATGTCTTTCAAGGACAGAGTACACGGAGGCCTTTCATTCTAGTTTGTTGAAATGATTGATTTGAGTTAAAGATAAAAACATGAACTTGTTATGATAAAATATCTTCGAAGATATTTAGATATATTCAAATGAGCATTGTTATTTGAAGACGTAGATCAACCGAATGCTTGTACTAGTATTCGTCAACAGAAACAATAGCAAGAAGCAGAAGTTTTGTTGTGCCCAAATTATTACAAGCGGATGCTCTCAAATTTCGTTTCTACCCGGTTCCCGAGCTGTATCGTTTGTAAGTAAATATTTAAGCCCCAGCTCGGATAGAATTTCCATACTCTGTGTACAAGGGTGTTTTTGTTCCATCAGAGCACTTGTATAATCTCTCTCAACTAGTTTTCCAATATCCGCATTTTTCTCCCAATCCGGTTCAATTCAAATGTCATAAAAGTAATGAAATCTATCGTGATTCAACACCAGACGAAAAAGACCCCACCCAAGATCTACGCAACACCCTTCCCCTCTCCCAGCTGCACATTTGCCACAAAACTGGGTACAGCACTGCAGGGATAATAAAAACCGTGCTGACGATAAGGTTAAACACCAAATTGTACTAGTAAGTTACTTTCTGTTCATGTAGTCTAATCATGTCAGTTTATTGCCTTAAGGGTAAATAATGTCTGTAAAGCTTGGGTTGGGTATACCTTTATTCAGCGTATATTGAAACGTGGTAAACAATAAGATTTGTTCGTTCATTCATTTGAACCAGTGCTCTAATTTTAGGACACACATTGGGATAACACCTGAGAGCCCCATATGATAGACTAAGTACAGCATGAAATCGCACAGCAGGGAAGCTGCTGGTAAACAAAGTTGAACTCCTCTAGCATGTTTGGACCTAAATGGTCGAAGCATACCAATCATAGCTATTGAAATCGCTCGAACATTTGCAGGCAGAAATGAGTGACAACCATATTCAACGTTTGATGACCCCTCATGACCTGTTTATTCGTTTTTGTGATAAATCGGATTGTATATGCTCTATATTGAAATGATTTCTCGGCCTTGGCGTTAAACAGCCTTTAAAATGCAATCATATATTATAAGGTATTCAGTAGGCGAAGAATGTTCAATACTGCATTTGGTATAACTGATTTTCAATTAAATATATCTGGAACCCAGGGTTTGATTTTATTACTGTTGACATGTTCCGTAACCATCTTAAAAGTGAGTAATGGTAGTATGAATTTTTTTAACAGCGACAATAACTATTAAAAGTACCCACAAAATCCTTTTCAACGGTGAGTGTGATCAGCTTAGTTGGAAACCGGGTGATTGGGAATGCTCACAAGCGACTCACTTTCCGAGGGCACAATTCGACACCGAACCAAATCGGCTTTGTTCGCCACAAGCATAATGATCTGATCCGCGTTAGCTTTGGACAGCAATCGGAGAACCTTTGACGCATAATCGTACGAGCGTGCGTCGTCCACAGCGAACACCAGCAAATAAACCATAACGTCTTTTAGCAGTGTGCTACCTGTGCTCTGAAACAATAATGCATGCATAAAGAAGTTGAATGAGAGAATTCAAGGTAGCATCGCGTTCGTGAATATTTATGAACTAATAAGCTCAGCAAACCCTGAAATATGCAAGATCAGCCTGAAACCCATTGTACTGTAGCAAAATGTTCCAGATATTAGGGTTATGTATTTCACGCAAACCGTGATAAAACACCTCAAATTTGTAAATACTTTTTTTGTACATTATGATGCATGTTGTGATTCCCGCAGAGTTTTCTTTTTATTTCTAATAAAAATATCATAACACTGAATATTAGTGACAATATTTTAACCGTTGTGAGATGTTCTTATCAAATAGAGTGTCTGTTTGTCTCCTGAAATCATAATTTTTAAGATGAATGATTGTGAACCTTATGGTTTAAACAATAAGGAAAACGTACGTTCGTGGGCACAGTTCTGTGTGCGCTATGATATCTGATTTCTGTGTATGCGGTACTTACACCCAGGATGAAGCTGTTACAACTTTACAAGGCGTTGCTAATCGAGTATAGTCGTTTATTGAGGATCTCACATAGGATATCAGTAACTTGGCACAAAAACAAAGAAAATCTCATTAAAAACATACAATAGCAGTTCCTGACAAGCTCGATGGGTAATGAACGTAGCAATCGATAGTTATTCTCTGAGATACAGCATTTTGCGCTCGGTGATCTTATTTTTTGACTATCGAAAATAATCACCAATTATCTTACCTACTACTCACAACAAGACCATTTTCGTACTTCAACTATGAGTGTGACGAGATAATAATATTGCTCGACTTCCGCAGCTGTAAGATCAGTAGAGTGTCACGCCCAGCCGCTGACTGGTCGGCTTTCAATGTGCAGTCGACAAGCGTCAGGCAAAGATACTTCGGAGAGCTTGCCTTCTTTTTGACCGCGAAAGATTATCAGAATATCATCCATCTTTAGCACGGGTCATGTATTAGCATGTGTGCACTCCAAGTGTCGCAAATCCAGTTCGATCCTAGCTCCACTGTACTCTTTAATTTCATGTCATACGTTCTGTAATGATTAGTCAATATATGAGATGCAAACAATTCTTTGCGGTCTGTTTAACGTACCGGTTTAGAACAAATTGTATTTATCCGTCTTCAATCAGTTTTATTCAGGTTATGTTAGTTTGGAAAGCAGCATTTGCGTCACCCTGATAATCAGTGTAACAAATTACCTCAAAAACTCATAAATATACGATAGAGTGAACGTTGAAGTCTAATCAAATGTAGTTCTGGCAACCGTACAGTTGACCTTTTGTCCTTGTTTGTACACCAATGGACTCTTAGTACTTATCCAAGGAAGTGAATGTCGGTCATGGTCAAATGGTTAAGTCGACTAAAACTGAGATAACTTGTGTTTACAGGTTCTCATAAGTTTCGCTATGGTTATGCGGCAGCAATTTCTTCGAATTAGGGTAAATAGGGTGAGGCCGCGAAACATGCCGAGAAAGTCAAGGGTTGCAGTCCTTCTAATGCTGATCCCCGATGAATCTGTCACATTTTTTCTTTCCCTCCCAAGTCTTTTGTACAGCAAAGCACATTCATTCAGTTTATTTGCTCGTTTGGTCCCAGTGGAACACTTGAAAATTTGGACTAAGTCCATGCTCGCATTGGGATCCCAGATTCTGAAAACAACAGTAATTCATTGCAATTTAAATGTGACTTTAAAACCTAGATTATGCGACGAGGATCAATTTGTGTGCAATGATTTTATTGCGTTTTTTCCGTTTACCCCCGGAAGAGGAGCAGTGCAGTTTGCAATTCCAGGCACAGTTCAGGAACTAAATAGCTATTTTACTGCTCAATATGGATAATGGGCCAGATCTACCAAATTATGAACAATCCAACTCCAGATCAATTCAGAAACATCTCGAATCAGACAGCACGGGTGGTGTAATAGTAGCGGATGGATGATTGCAGTGTCCGGCTACCGACGGACAAACCGCTGCAACAATCAGCATCGGTAGTTGATTTTTCCAACTGATATAAGTGATAAGGCCATGAAATGGTGGTATCGTATTTGGTGATTGATGACCCACATGTTGTAAGAATATAGTTAAAAGATTTAGCTGAATATGAACGCATTCTCTGGTTCATCCATCAGTTAAATACATGTTCGGAGGCCACTTCGATAACCCTTTTGGGATAACAACTGCTGGACGAGATAGTACGAATCAATAGGTCACATCTATAAGCAATGCCAACTTTGAATTTGGTCACTTATCTCTGTGAACGGCTTTCGATTGCATGTAGCCACTGCTTTTATATTCTATCAAACATGTTCGATTAACAAACAGATAAACGTTTTGTTATCAAACGACATGACCTCTTGCTGTTCACAAAACCATTCATTGATTAAGCTCCACAGACTCATTTGATACAAATCCCTGTTACTATTACTCTATCTCATTTTTCGTCAAATTTGATTTACGAATTCGAACAGGTATAGGTTTGTGAAACACAATTACCGGAATAGCTGAGAGTTCCTTATTCCCAAACTTAAACGGTGGCCAGATGTGGCATCTTTTTTAATGCAAAATTCAAATTTCGGTGGTTTGGGGAACAACTAGCAAACCTTTCAATCGAAAATCTCCACGGGACGTTTTGGTTTCATTGGGAACTGCTCATACTAAGGTGTGATTGCGATGCAACAATGCACACACTACTCCGTTCGTATCCGAACATATTCTTTCACGATTTATGCAAATAAATACAAATACGTCATCCAATGAAAAACGACTGCCTAAACTATTCAGATGTTTTATAATTATGACAGAGATTTTCTCTCTTGGTTTGCTAGACGATCGCTACAATCTGCGATAAAGGAACCTACTTATTAATTCATAATAGCACAGAGAGTCCATGTCAGATGCAGTCGACATCCGTGACACTCCACGTCTGGGAGATTTACGGCTGTCAAAATGAACGTTATTTTCCACCAAAAGAGTGCTTCACTCCGGTAGAATACACTTCTGTTTAGGATATATATATATACTGCTGAAAGTGGATAAACAGCAAAGCTGAATGGAATCAACGTTGACACTAACCGACTAAACCTTTAGTATCTCGTTGGAGTTAATTCCAAAACTGAAGCTTGAATAACTGTTTTATGTTGTTGAATATTTACTGAGGACTACTAGGTATGTGGAGACGAACCAAGATAAATTCGTTCACATTAGTTCTTCATATTATTTTGTTTTTTTGTGTTCAATGGATTTGATCGTCATTTTGTCAAATCGAAGCTCTTTATTATTTCTCTATTTTGCTACCAGCATACGGAATTATAACGCACCAAAGAACGTTCATCGAGATCGGAGGTCGCCGTCAACCTGACTTCATAGGTCAACCATAATCATTTGCATAATCTTTTTAACCGCAAAATTGCCCGTAGACGTTGCATAAATGTGAACGTTTAGCATATGTACCAACATAAATTGAATGCTTCAGCGTTTCCTGCTTCCTAAAAATCAAATAATGCCGATATATGCATTTTGATAATTCAACATTAACTAATGACTCCAGTGATTTAAAATATTTTTTCGCAGTGATACACGTTGATGTAACTACCTGTCTTGTTCGGCATCTCGTTTTGACTAAGAGAATGTTAGCTTTAGTTGACTAGCTGAATCACGTGACTTGTTGTGCTTGCCCGACCGAACCACTGGCCACTAATTGAAGCACGCGAACGCGAATTATGTTACCGCCAATGCAACTAATTTTTCATCCTAATTCGATTCGATTCAGTTGGATAAACCTATTGTTCTAGGATTTTAAAAAGAATGTATAAATTACTTCGAGGTCACAAACAATTTTATACTCAGAGATCAGTCTTGTTACAGTTTTTATAAATCAAAATGAGCTTTCCGATCAACGAATAATTTGAATCCTATTGGCAAACACGTCAACATGTAGTTTTGTTGAGGGAAACATTATTATTCAGTTGAAGTGGTTCTTCTTTTCTGGGAACATTCACATCCACAGGACACCGTCAGAATACCAACTGAAAATTGTTATCATCTCTGTCAATGTTTTTCACTTCATCATTAGGTTTCGATCAAATTTAGCGATTCACGCCTGTTTGCACTCAGCACCGCCCACGTGGTGCCTCTCCAACTGTTCACACAAAAGGTTACAAATTCGTATTCCATTCTGACAACTGTTGAACGAACAATATAGCTCTCTTGGCGGTGCGTGAGGTGATTGATTTCATGCTGCTACGTTTTGACAACTTAATGACACCGTTTTAACGATGTCTTCAGTCAGATTGGTGAATGACGCGATAAGTTCACTTAGTTTTTGATATGGCAAAATATATATTCCAAATATTGGAATAATTATTCCGATGACGAAAAGCATGCAAATAGATGAACAGTTTGTCACAATTATTGATTCTCTCGGATTTTCTCTTTTTTATATGACGCAGCTTATATATCATACAGAATTTTCTGGATTGTGAAGCAAAAGATACGTTCCGGTTACGCATTTATACATCTGGCAGAAGCACGTGAGATGCATGTCACTGTGACATTTGAGACGTCAGATCATGTTAATATAGTCCATCCACCCCAAGTAAAACTATGACATGATCATGTTCCCAGTTCGCCCGTAAACAGTTGCCCTCTCACAAGTAGCGAAGCATATTATACATTTATGCATTATTTAGTCAAAGATTTCTTACGTCACATCTGACAAATAGCTGTGCACAGTTTGTCACTAATTGAGGTGATAGTATGAAAAATATTCTTCTGCGTTCGTTGATTCGGAGACGAAATACAGTTTTATCCCTGTTATCAATGCATCAAACGCATAGAGATCAAGTTGGCGAATAATTACATCAACATCTTTACAGTGACGCTTGATAAGCGCGCTAGCCTCCCATAACCCTACGTTAAAAACCTGAGGACAGGAATGAGGAAGTACGAATAATGATCAGTTTATGCGGGATTTTGATGATTAGATTGGTCAAATTCATACAAAAATGAGTGATTCAAACAATGAACTTCAAGTTAACCGACAGATATACCACCTCCATGAATTTTCGCAAATAACTTCCTTAAGCGTTTACTCAATGAAATGCAATAGATTTATCCGAAATTCTTTCTCGTGTGCCGCTTGATAAAGTCGAAACTAGATGGGTATCTCGTCACGCAAAGCCAGTACAAGTACAACTAAATGCAATTCATTCTCAGGCTTTATGCTACATAGTGAAATTTCGGAACGATCTAAAGTTAAGACAACAATCTAACAACTCATTTAAACCACAATTTAAACGAGACTTACTTTGGAATTGGGTAGCAAATGCAAAGTACTCTGCGTCGAGGGGGAATCCGTGGCCGAGCTGCCTTTCTCTTGTAGTCGAATGTTGTTAACTATGGCCAATTCGTCCGCACCGGCCTCTCCAAAATTGTCAATCAAAACGATATTCCAGGTTTGATCATCCAGTTCCACTGTCACATATCTCTCCACGGTATCTTCAGACACTGCAAAATGTACGAGTAGGGTGAAGTTCGGTGACTGACAAGTAGACAGTTTTCATTTTATTGTAATGTTCAAAATCTTAACGGCAAGATATCTCTCCAAATAGGTCGACGGAAAAGAATTGATATTCTGCACGCTAGTGTACAGATGTCAGTGGGTAATTCGCAGAGGTTTAACATTACGTGCTTTGTGGAGACTATGGGAAAGCCTTTCAAATCAGATTTGCGATAAATCAGCCTCTCTCTATTAAGAGACATATCACAAACTAATATGGATAAAACGCGAGTTGCAAACGTTCCCCATTACATTTTGCAGTATAGCCAATGCGTCTACTTGTTGGGAGACCATCAGTAAATGTAAATACCAGAACAAACGACTTCTCCAGGGAGGGGGTTGGCATAGCAATCTTAACACTGCGTTAGTTCATGAAAGAACTTCCCGTTGGCCTGATTCAGATTTCCAATTAATATCAACTTGTGTGTCATTTTTATTTCTTGGTTTTTCAAAACATGACTTTCAACTACAAGTAAGCAGGCAGACGGAGAAAAAGGGAAATACTCAAACGATGGGACATTTATAGTTTGACCCTGAAGCATGAATAAATTTCTGTGTTTGGTCATAGATAGTTAGCTGTTAACGAATAGTATTCATCAAACAAAAATACATTACAATGGCGTATTTGTTTTCCAATGCCATTTTTGGATAAATTATACGGATAAAAATTATTTTTCCCTTAGACAGTCAGATTTGAAGTTTATTTTAAAATTAAAATAATATTAAATCGATTATACGGTGANTACGGTGAACAAACATGAGTTTCGGGCGCAAAATCTTTAGCTGCGCACACATGCCACGTCATGTACACAAGGGGAACCCAACACATGTCAATAATCTATTTGGCAACACGGGTTCTTTATTGCACTTCAAGACGCAGTAGGTCTAGTATCAATTCTATTTGTGATGTATGCTTTTGGTTCTGCGTTTCCCGAATAGGCATCTGTTTTGGAGATGATTTCGTTTGACTTCGAGTAGAAAATAACCCAATTCAAATAGAACATGTTAAGATCCTGTAGTGCACATTACACCAGCAGATTTTTCATGGCTTTTGAACGTAAATAACAAAACTAGCTTCGATAATTGCTTTTACTGTCAATTCAACACACAAGACCCTTCATACGCGTCACAATAAGACGTATTTTCCTTCCAAATCATCATTCTGTCAGAACAAAGTTTGCTGAAACATTTGAAAACGGTTACGCATGATTGGCACAAATGTGACACTATAAGGTCCCCAAATTGCAGCTAGATGGTCTCCTGCATCTAACTGCTACCTGGACAAATGTGAGGAGCGGAGTTTATGTTAGGTGGATTATCGCCCTTGTAGACATTTCCCCTGCACTGTGCTGTCCCATAATTCAAAATGGACGAAGTGTTTTTGTATACCATGAGAATCATTATCGTTGTGAGTTAGCTCAAAACGTATTACAAAAAGACTAGTGAATAAATGATTTAGGTATATATTGCCTACTATACTGTTCACTATGTCGGGAGGGAGGTAAATTGAGTTTATTGTGCCACACCCAGTTACAACAATAGAAAGACCATGGATTCACAGTTGAGAACTAAGTCATTTGAATAAAGGCGTTTAATATTACTTGCTCCACTGTTCCAACCATGGGCACTGATGACCAGGATAAGACAGTCATCCAGGTTTATCCGTATTTTTCAATACGCATCGTGATGCGTCCGGTGAAATTCATTTTATTGTGCACTGGTTGTCGTCTATACTCGCACCACGTCACATCTAGTCACTACTAAAGAAAAAAGACCCACAACGGACGATATTTACTTTCACTGAAACGTTCTACTCTCGCGAACAACTATTCCTTAGTTTTGAAAACGTTATTAACTTAGAACACATCTGGACTCCGAATAACAACAGAATATAGAGTAGTGCTATTCAGCCTGTCCAGAAAATGAGACGTTCAGTCAATGCGTCACGTGATTCACGAACAAGAAAGAAATTATCTGCAAGACAAAATCTGATCAGTAAAACAAAAAACACGCCAAAAAAAATCTTACTGGTGTTTCCCAATGTCGTAATTATATTCAAATAATTGCCATTTATTGAAATATTAAGGCTTTGAAGAATATTTGGTTTTTCGCTGTTGCAGAATTAATTATCAAAATCTAAACTGATGAAAGTGAATTATAGATCCATTGTCTGTGCGTACAGCATTAGGGATGTGTGGTGGGTAGCGCTCACTCAGGTGGTTACATAATTGAAACCCAACCAAATCAATAAACGTTTGATGATTGGTGTTTGAACTCTCACCTGAATGAAACGAAACCTCATATTTATTATATCTATCATTTTGCCAATCTGCGGGATACATTATTCTGTTCTTTTCTCGTTCTGTTTAAAATCTCAGAAACTGAACAAACCGCTTCTCAATTAGAATTACAGTCCTGAGAGACCACTTCAATAGAATATAGCAGTTCATCTGGCAACGTTTGGCACGGTACATATTGAACATGTCCCCTTTATAATCTGAACTAAAGTAGCAAGAACTAGAAAGAAACAGGTCTTGATTTGTCAAGATGATCTGACTGTTCGTTTAAAATGAGACAGCGAACGTCAGATGATGAATAGGAATAATTTATTCTGGTAGATGACAACAAATCAAATGTCCCGTCGGGCGTACTGAAAAAGTTTTATTTTGGAACAACTCAGCTTTGTGCAAGAAATACTTTTCAATGTATCGTGGCAGGCAATATTGATCCGCATAAATTACGGCTGAAGGTGTATGTCTATTGAATTGCCCTTGTCATATGGATAACTTAAATAGATCACAGTCTTCGGATCGATTCAGTGATCAATTCATCGGGTCTTGATTGAACAAGAACCACACAAACCGGACTGACTAAAGCAAATGCTTTTTGGAGTACAGGTCAAGGGCTCACTTCTGAAATCCGATCGCCTCGGGTACTGGAGAAGTGTGCAATTCAGCACATGTATGCCTACCAGATAGATACGTTAAACAAACTGGAAAATGAGGTCCGGATTTGCCTGATGTGTGGTGCCGGTAGATTGCATAATAATTGTGCTGTCGTTGTTACTCGGGCTATGTTGATATTTGCCGGCGTTGACAACTGACACAATACGCATCACAAGCGAATACGACAAATTCATTCGTTGCGTTGTATATCTATGTGATGGTTTACATCTGAAATTACTGGAATACTTAAGCTTTGTTTTCCAGCGTTACTAGTTGGTGGATTGTCAAAAGTTCGATCCCAAAGTCGACTCTTTTAGCTACCTTGGAAAGATTGTAAAGTTACTAACACAGAGAAGAGACAGGATTCGTTGTTTTTGGTACTAGAAAGGTAAACTCTCTGTTGTTATTCCTCGAAGCATTATGGCCAGTGTTGTGACAACCATTCTAGCTTTCACTTGATTAACCTCAGGCTTTAGGGAATTGCCACTGAACTATACGTAATATACCCACAACCGAAATTGGATTCTGTTTGTTTACGAAGTGCAACTGGAAACTCGCTACTCCCAGAATCAAGGGATGGTGGCGAACATTAGCGTGATACTGAAGAAACCTGAGTAAACACTAGTAAATGCTGCCTTTCTTTCCAGTAAAATATCCTCAAATACTTTAGGAAATATCGCTTGGGTTCAACGAAGAAAATATTTATTAACATGAACATCACACTCAATAGATCGGACAAGGGGTGTGGCGGATTAGTAGGGGAAGGAATTGCGAGTACATTGAAAATTTCAACTGCTTTCTATAAAATATGGAATCATTCTCAGAGAGGAAATATCAACGAAACCAACTGAGCTCCAAATAACCGCCACCATGAAACAAATCAGAGATGTTACTCGCATCCTCAACCATATATATGGACAACAAACACAGACTAAGTCTATGAACCCCATGCTGAAAGGCCCACAGTATTTCCAAGTCACTAAATCACAATCGCCGATATTATCGGTTCACCCAGTTACCAACTAAACAATACATTGTTAGAGTACCTAAGACATAATGCGAAAAACCGGAGGATCATTATCATTATTCAGCACTACTTTGACTACTACTACTACTACTTTAACTTTCGTCTGAAGTTGTGCTATAAGCAGAAATCATTGATTTGTGTCAATAAGCTGAAATAAAATTACCTTATTCAGTGTACATATAACGTCCAATTTGATCTAACCGTTTACAGACTTTGAGACGTTGTATCATAAAGCAGATTTCACGTTGATGCCTTCCTTGTAAAACAAGAAAGAATTAAGATTAAATCTGCAATCAATGATGTTCAGCATTATGGTGAGTGTGTGAGTGTATGGCATATTGTGTGTGACTGACGCACAATCTGCTACGCAATCTATAGTCCGCGCAAACGGAATTTGGCAAGGTGCATCAATCAGTACAATTCATATTTGAATGTGAAATGAACAGTTTACTTCCGTGCCTGGATAGAGTGGCTCTACCTCAAAGCGTATCGGAAACCAACGTAGATAAGTTAGTGCATCAGATTCAACATTTCACTCAGCGTCTGATAAGTTGGTGAATTATTAGACCTTATGCTAAGTGCAATCTTCTCTGAGGACCCGGTGGGTGACCATTTATTGTTCTCCAAAACACATGTAGAACGGCTACCTCAATAGATTTATTCAAAGAAATTATACTGAACGAAAACCGAAAGCTACTTTGTAAGCGGTCCGCTGAAAACGCCTCTCACTGAATTCACCAGTTTCAGCATATACTGTGAATGAAATATTATTGCAACGTCTGTGATGAGCAGTGAGTGTAACTCCTTCAGCGACGTGACATTCCGTTGCGCATGATAAGGTATCTCGCGATCCCGATTCAAAACAATTATCAACGTTCCAAACTGATGCCAACAATATATGTGTGCTATCTCAGATGTTAGTGACGTGTTCGCCATTATTTGAACAGTTTCGCAGTCATCCTCCGGAATTTAGAAG